GAAGACGTGCTCAAGGGACTACCCGCGCCATCCCACTAGTCTAGCCATCCTGCTCCCCGGGATCACAATCGCATGCGGCCTCCCATGTCCATGGTGAACACCAAAAGGAGGCGGGGAAGTGCCTGAAATGTTATTATTCCTCCTGGCCCTAGTCGTCCTCGCAGGCCCCATACCGCCTGACCCATTTGCGGCGGATGACGGTGGGAAAGGAGCAGAGCTGGAGGAGGGAGGACGTGATCTGGGGCGGGAGCGGGATGCTGGTGAGCGTGTGTGTCGTGTTAGGTGGGCGTGGGCGGAGTGGAACGATGATGGTGGTAGGTTCGTGGTGGACGAGGGAGGGAGGGGAGGGGAGGAAGGAGAAGGAGGGTCGTAGCGCATCCCACTGTTTATCGCTGGGAGGGTAGAGTCGAATGGGTGTTGTTGATAAGCGTCGTGTAGGCTGCTTGATTGACTCCCTGCGCCATTGTTGGCGGTGGTGGTGGAGGATGAGGAAAAGTGTGTTGGGAATGCTGAAGAGGCGGTGGAGGATGCACTGGACGCTGATACGTCGAATATGCTACGTGTGCGGTATGCCGACGTAGGGTTTTCATTCACCGTTGCGTTTTCACACTGCTGCTGGTGCTGGTGCTGGTGAGTGTGATGCCAGGTGGTCATTAGGCATCGATCGATCACCGGGTCCACCCAAGCGCTTAACCGTGAGCAACTCGTCGTTAAACTCCACATTCGCAGCAGCAACCACATTCACGGACGAAGGGAGCTTGCAAAGTACCAACATGCTAGAAAGTCGAGCCAGTCCACAGAATCAGGTAAGCGGCCGAAGAACGAAGGAAAGGAGAATCTTGAGCCAAGGCACGTGCTTGTGTATCCATAATACATATATACAAATAGACCAACTCGTGGCATGATTGGGGGTCTTTTGGCGTCTGGGCGCTCCTCTTCCTTCCTTTCCCTCTCTCATCCAAAACCTTTCCATCGTCGATATCTCAACATGAGTGGAGCGAACGTTCTTGCGGGCGCTCACCACTTTGTTGCTAACAACAGCACATTCAATAATGCTAACACTGTGAGTAGAATGGTTATCGTGTTAATGTACCAGTGAACGAAGCTGAGAGTACGGATCTCTGGCAGATGCACATCCACAACATCAACAACGGCAATAGGACCACGTCGGACGGGGTCATCCCCCTCACACCAAACCCAAGCAATCAGTTCACAGGACGGACAGAAGTCATTGCCAAACTCAAGAGGCATTTTTTTACCAACGCAAATGATGGAGCTAAGAAGAGAAAGTTCTTCCTGTTGCATGGAATGGGGGGTATTGGAAAGACTCAAATTTGTTTAAAGTTTGTTGAGGACATGTCTGACCAGTGAGTATCTATTGAATACCACTTCAATGTTTTTTAATTCAATTTCAATTACCTTCAGCTTTTCTCTTGTTTTTTGGGTTGATGCATCCTCAGTCAGCACCATCACACAGGCACTGAAGGGTATCTGTAACCTTCCTGAGGCTCAGTCTTCTGCTCTGGATGGGTCACCTGAATCTGCTCTTTGCTGGATTGGCTTGCTGAAAGAGAACTATGTAATGGTGTTTGACAATGCTGATAATCTATCACCTGCTGAGCTGGAAGCTTATCTTCCACCTGGAAGGGGTGGAAATATTCTGATAACTAGTCGCAATTCTGCCATGAGGAGGCTAACTTCATCTGAGAACTCTCTTGAAATAACTGAGATGGAAGAGAATGATGCTCTTGAATTACTTCTAAAAGCTAGTTGCTTGAATTCATCTTCAATAGAGTTTCAATCTGAAGCTTCTAAGATTGTGAAAGAGCTCTTCTGTGTTCCTCTTGCAATTGATCAGGCTGGTGCTTACATTGCTTCTGGAGCAACCACTATCAGAGACTACCTTGCAACATATTCAGAGCACCGGAAGACACTATTATTTCATTCAGATTTTACTGGAGCTTCTAAGTATAACAAAACTGTCTATGAAACTTGGGAGCTATCATATAAAGAAATTCAGAAAAGGGCTAAATCTCATGATTCTCATAAGGCCAAAGCAGCCAATAGTGCAATGCTCCTTCTGGAATTATTCCCTTTCTTCCATCATGAGGGGATTACTGAAGACATCTTTTTTTATGCTGCTCTCCAGGAAAATGAGAAAATTTCTGGCTCAAAGTTACCACTTGCCAGTTCTCTGCTGGACCGGAGACTACTTCCTCTCAATAAATCAGGCACTTGGGATAACTTTGTCTTTAAAGAGGGAGTCCGAATATTACTGTCATTCTCCTTGATCAAAAAAGGCCCATCTGATGGTGTGTATGCAATGCATCCACTGGTCCATTCCTGGGGCAGAGACAGAATGCTTCCAAATGAGAAGAAACAATGTTGCTTGATGGCTTATGTTACTTTGTCTTGTTCACTAAGATGGGGTGAAGACCAGCCATATGGATTTCAGAGGGCCTTGGTAACACATATAAGAGCAAATATGGAGCATTTCAGATTAGAAAGTAACAACAACAGTGTCAGATACTTAGATGATGCTTATGCCAACTGTGGGAGATTGTTGATGGAACAAGGATTTGCAAGAGAAGCAGAAAAGTTACAGATTGAAGTTCTGGATACAAGGAACAGAATTCTTGGAGTGGGACACCCAGATACAATCACTGCCATGTCAAATCTAGCAGCCACATATCGAAACCTGGGAAAATACACAGAGGCAGAGAAGCTGGAGATCCAAGTTCTGGATGCAAGCAACAGAATTCTTGGAGTGGAACACCTTGATACCATCACTGCCATGGCAAATCTAGCAGCAACATATGGAAACCTGGGAAAATACACAGAGGCAGAGAAGCTGGAGATCCAAGTTCTGGATGCAAGGAACAGAGTTCTTGGAGTGGAACACCCAAATACAATGACTGCCATGGCAAATCTTGCATCCACATATCAACACCTGGGAAAATACACAGAGGCAGAGAAGCTGGAGATCCAAGTTCTGGATGCAAGGAACAGAATCCTTGGAGTGAAACACCCAGATACAATCAGTGCCATGGCACATCTTGCAGCAACTTATCGATACCTGGAAAAATACACAGAGGCAGAGAAGCTGGAGATCCAAGTTCTGGATGCAAGGAACAGAATCCTTGGAGTGAAACACCCACATACAATCACTGCCATGGGACATCTTGCAGCAACTTATCGATACCTGGAAAAATACATAGAGGCAGAGAAGCTGCAGATCCAAGTTCTGGATGCAACCACCAGAATTCTTGGAGTGGAACACCCACATACAATCACTGCCATGGCAAATCTTGCAGTCATATATCTAGAGGTAGGAAAATACACAGAGGCAGAGAAGCTGCAGATCCAAGTTCTGGATGCAAGCACCAGAATTCTTGGAGTGGAACACCCAGATACAATCAGTGACATGGCAAGTGTAGCATCCACATATCGACACCTGGGAAAATACACAGAGGCAGAGAAGCTGCAGATCCAAGTTCTGGATGCAAGCAACAGAATTCTTGGAGTGGAACACCCACGTACAATCAAGGCCATGGCACATCTTGCAGCCACATATCGACATCTAGGAAAATACACAGAGGCAAAGAAACTGGATATCCAAGCTCAGAAGATAAAGAATAAAGTTCCTGGAGCAGAATCTCCCCTTATGAATTCTAGGGAAAAAGGTATGAAATGAGCTTCATTTTTTCATTTTCACTGACACTCATATTTATATGATTAGTACATTCTCTGACCAATCTTGCCAAGAGGATTTCAAAATTCAAGTCTGGGATGATGCATTCATTTCATAGTAAGAAACATCTCAATGATGGCTTTGCAGGAACTAGTACTTAATTCTTTTTCCCCAATGCTTCCATCCTTTTCACCTATATTCTTTTTCACTGAAATTCTGGCTTCTACTCATATCTTGATATTCTGTTTAGTATGTTGAATAAATTTCTCTTTATATGACTGTTTTAATTGATGATTGACTGTGTATGAGTTTATCAGAAGCATCTCATGATTCACAATCCAATACTTTATGTCTGTGCTTGCATTCAAGCCCCTTTTCAACTCTCCTGTTGAGCTGTCCATTATCCTCCAATGCATCCACTAAGCTACCAATGTCCATCAAGGCCTCTTCAAGTTACCTTAGTTTTGTTGAATTGCAGATACAAACCTACATAACTTCTGTCTGCAACAGCAGTGCCAATAGCAGATACAGTTATGTTGAAGTGTGCAATCAAAGTACCTTCATGAGATGTAGAAAATCTGAATTTTAAATTTTGGCAAGAACTTCAGCCACCTCAGGCATGTTAAAAAAACTTGATCCAGTATGTATATATTTCAACATAAACAGGCTCCCAGTGTCATTGAATCCATGACAATTGTATTGAGGGATTGAGAACTGATGATGTCAAGTTATTGAATGATCTATGAATTTGAACCTTAACTCACACATCACAATAATGTAGGCAGGCAAATCATCCATTTTCTTGTAGTAAGTTGTCACCCAGTTGATACCAATATCCATCCATCAGGCCAAGTGGGGGTGTTCTCTCCTAAGTTGCTCCCATGCCATCATGAACATTTTGAAGGCAGGAATTGTGCCTGATAAAACGGGAGTGCGCTCTTTCGACATGATTTTCTGCACTTGATGGGGTACCTAAGAAAAAGACTTAGCCTTGAACAGGTATCAATATTAGAGACATACACCCAGTACAATCTCAAAATCCTGGAGTACAGTCCATTCCATATCAGTAAGTCTAAGTTTCGCAAGCTCTCTATTGATGGGCAAAGAAAGAAAATGCTCAACAGCCTATTTTTATAAGTATACACTGATAGAATGATGAAGTTCAAACATACCGGGCATAGTTTATGAAACCGATTGATCATGAAATAAAGAGAGTCCCACCAGACCTTCATGTCACATATAAGTTGTGCCTGCTTAACCTGTATAGTCATGGTCGGATCCCCAGTTGACTTGAACCACCCTTTCTTGTTTCCATCCTCTATTACTTCTGCCAGGTGGTCATGTCATTGACTTAAGGCACGTACTGCTCATATGGTACTCCAGCACAATGCAATTGGGTCGCAACCAACTGCTTCTTTGTAACTCTGATTATCGGGATCACTTGGAGGGCCTGATGCGGATGCGATGAATCCCCCTGTATCATCTACCAGGGTGATATCAGTAAATGCATTGATGATGTGATTCGAACATATGTTGGTAACATGTGGGAAGCATCTTATATGATTCTCCTTGTGATTAAACTCAATGTCGCAAGGGCGTAAAAGTAACTCGAGTTTTCTGAGGAAAGCATTATTGAGCAAGCAGTTATCGAGAGTCCAATAAAAGGGAAAGAAAATGAAACTTAGACATGCCTTGACTGTGATCCCAACTCGATCCAAGAGATGGAGGACAATCCTTGCTAGCCTCTTCCCGTTGTGGCTTCCTCGAAGACAGTGAAATGTGATGAGTGTAGAACACAGCTGAAGACCCTTGGTAGACTTGTAACTATGTATCCAATGTGCAGTAATGGCCAGGTATGGATACCAAGCTTTTGTTGACCAAATATCCACCATGTAGGAAATTTGTCCTGGCACATCCTAGAGTGATCGGTGAATACAAGGAAACAAAGTGGTCAAATGAAACAACTAGTGTTTTAAAGTCCAGTGGAAAGGGCGGAGAGGCTTCCCCATCATGTAGCTGACTGGGTAAGTGGTGGTATTGCAGTGAGTATGTACTACATGTGATGCTGGTATGTACGTGCACGTGACTGCGCTCTGGAGCCTGGAATCCCTATTCCATCTGCCCCCTTCCCATAAGGCGACGTCCCTGTTGCCAGCTGCTGAAAAAGAGAAAGAAATGTAAGAGGACTAAGAAAATTATAGAGTAGAGATCCAAAATTAAGCAAAGAAAATGATGTGATGGACAAAGTAGGAACATAAAGAAATATCACTGACGAATCCAACCAAGTGCCTTCAAAGCTTGACTCAAATCTGAGAGGCGTGGATCAGATTCCCAATCAAGAGCCATAGGCATCTTCAATGGGGTTGATGGCAATGGCGGTGAGTGGGGTTCGAGACCAGAATGAAGCATTGACAAGGAACAGTTTGGGAGACAGGGAAGAATGGTGGGGTTCGACGTGGCCAAAACGGTGGTCGGGGCCAAGAAACTTCATGATTTTCCAAAGGCAATTGAGAACAGCGGTTCCGATGTGCTAAAGAGCTGAAGGGGTTGGGGTTGGTGGTGCGAAGAGCTGAAAGGTCATGGTAAGGTTGATTTTTTGAGAATATTAGAACAATAGGTATGGAGGCAGCGTTGTCAGACCAATCAAAGGTTGGGGGGTCCAAGGTAGGAGCAGTGGTAGCAGCAGGGGGCAAATCCATAAGCTGGGCTTGAGCTTCGGCATTGACAAGAAGAGGTGGAGTGGTCTGGGATGAGGAAGTGTGGTGTGAGGGAGAAGCCTGGATGGCAGTTTCAGCAGAAGGTGGTTGAGCCTTGACGAAATCCACTTGAACCATCGCGTCGAGCTTGGTGGTGCAGGTATGCCCATCAGGGATTCCCACTTCACAAGAGAAGCAATCTGTTTTTGTGTTGAAACACCAGGAGCCGTGGCCTGCTGCCTCCCATTCCTTCCTCTCATTCAGTATTCCCATTATCTGTCCTTCATCTGCACCATCACGAAATGCCTGCTTCACATCTTTGTCCTTGAAAAGCTCTGTCCCCCTTCGGCATCCATCCCTTGACCCTTCCTGAAAGGTGTGCACCCAAATGAGGCCTAATGGTGAGTCCGGCGATGACATGGCAAGAGCGATGAGCTTTGTGAGGCTCTCTTTGGATACTGGCAGTGGTGGCAATGATGCTGCTGCTGGTTTTGATGCGGATGTGGATGCTAGCACTGGCAGCATTACTGTACTATTTCGACCAAGTGTTCATGATTTTGGGAAATTTTTCACACCGAGATGGCTGAAAATTTTTCTTTTGATTTAAGATGAATAAAAATTTTGTCGGTGTGACGTGAACACTTGGTCGAAATGGTACAGTACTGTGGGTGGTGCCTGATTGACAGGCTTCTTCTTCAACGCAGTCTGTGGAGAGCGAGAGGCAAGCATGTTAAAGCATGAAAAACACTCTCATCACCAGGTGGAAAGGGCAGAGAGGCTCCCCCAGCATGTAGCTGACTGGGTAAGTGGTGGTATTGTGGTGAGTATGTACTACATGTGATGCTGGTATGTATGTGCACGTGACCATGCTCTGGAGCCTGGAATCCCTATTCCACCAGTCTAGTCCGGTTTTTTTACCTCAAAATGAGGCAACTGGCAACTGCAACCAGTCCAGGCCAATCCAGATATTAAGGGACTGCAATCAGACCCTTTTAGACCAGTCCTAATAGGTCCACAACACAAAAAAAACTGGTCCAGACCGGTTGTGACTGGTCTTTTGTTGAAAAATTTATTGTACTACAGAAACTAAATATTACGTCACGTACATAGCATACATAGATAGATACTTTAATTCTCCGTAGACTGATCAAAAATTTAAGCAATTCGGTGAAGATTTGACTGAGATATGGCAAAAACGGAAAGGATATACATTCAAATTGTGTATAAAATGTTTTTGGCCATATCTCAACCAATTCTTGACCGTTTTTGATGATTGAGGGACCGAAAATTAAGTAAAAATGTGTGCGAGTAAGGTCCAATATGTGATGGGATGAAAGACAGGTTGTAACCGGTCTAAACCGGGTTTTTTCAGTTTTTAAATATTCACAGAAACATGGCAACTGGCAACTGGACTGACCACAAATGTGGGCAACTATGCCATGGACACGTCCTTGATCTTGTATCGAAAGTGTTCCTTCCCGCTGGTTACCCTGATTCCGTGTCTCCAGGTAAGCAATAAGCATCACACAATCTGCTATCTGACGGCCTGTTGCCATTGGACTACCTTTGGTCTGATTTTCCTTGAAAAGGACGCTGTTTTGCTTATGAAAAGTTCGCTCTAGATACCAAATATTAAGTGCCTTACAAGTGTTCTGCAATTCTTTGGCAGGACTTTTCTCATCTAGGGCAATTCTTGAAGCTGTTTCTTCAAGCTCCAATTCGCATTTTCGGTCACAATAAGGATTCAGAGTTGGAGATCCATCTGCAACAGCAACAAATGCTCTACTTCTCACTGTCCTGCAAGATGTCTTCAGTCGTTTAACAAGTCAGTGTCGCCATGTTATCCTACATCTTCACTATTTTTTTTTTGCATGCAGCAATTGTCGCGGCCCACATATTGGGTTCTTCACTAGCACCTGACGCAAAGAAATACTGACTGCTTGCCAACATGCTCAACAACGCCGCCATAATTCTGGACACAATTTCACCTTGTCTCAACACCCTTTTCTTTCCCAGTCTGCGAGTTTCAGCATTATGCGTCAGCACATCATTCAGATCTCTTTTTGCTATCTCTGTAGGGCGCTCCAATGCTTCCATCAGTTTGCACTTTGCCACACTGCTCAAAGGTTCAGGCAATGTAGGCAATCTTAACACAAAAGACGCAAGCAAAGAGACAGTCCTTGCCTTGCTCGGTATGCTGGTAAGTCTATGCACCGACACAATGCTACTACCTGTTTTATGTATCTTTTTCAAAGCTTGGTATGCTCATTGTGCCCCATTTGACAACGCCATGGAAAATTTACACAACTCTCCTTGTTCTTGTTGGACTCCATCTCACCATCAATTATATTGGTGTGTGGGGTCTGGTCCTGTGCACACTGAATGGACAAAGGACTTAGCTTGCTTGGTCTGCCTATATGCACACACAACCAGGTCGTTCCCCAACACCTGATGAAGTGGCGAGTCTAGAATGAATATTCGAACGTCCAGGTACATTTTGTGATTCTAGAAGCAGCATCCTTTTAGGCCACTGTACCATCGGTTCTTTGTTTTCGGAGTTACTCAGCAGACCTATACCTCCACGGTTACTTGAATTGTTCAAGGACGAACAATATCTACTCAAGTTTAATTGTCGCTGCCTGCTCCAACTGGAATCCCCTTCCATTGAAGGCTTCATCCACCTACATATCTACCTCAAAGATGGGTACAATACTGAGCATCAACTGAAAGTAGTGTTTGAAAGTTAGGTTAGTTAACCGGAAAATAACCGGACCTAACCGCAACACTAACCTAACCACAGTTAGGGTTAGTTGATTTCGAAAATGGAATAACCGGTTATTTTGCGGTTAACTAACCGTTAAACAACCGGTTATAACCAGCCCTATTATACACCTTCAAAACGCACCTGAGAACGTCGAAAACACTTAAAATTTGACTAAGTTATGGTCAAATCTCTAAAATATCACTCAAATGTGTAGACTTTCAAGGATAATTGCATAAATATGTCAATTCTTCACCGATTTTAGCGTTCTTGGGCTCGTTTTAAAGCTAGAATATGCAGAAATAATATCTATCAAGATACATATGAGCATATTTGCCTTGTTATAACCAATTCTTTATCTTTCGGTCCTAACTGGTTAGTAACTGCAAATAACTGACCGTAACTGGTTAGTTGTGGTCTGGTTAGGTTATTTTAGGTTTCGGGACAAAGGCTAACCGGTCTCGGTCTCGGTTAGAGCCCCTGGGCACCCAATAACCAGACCTAACCAGACTTTCGAACACTAACTGAAAGCGTGAATTCATGCTGCGGAATCGTGTCAGTTATTTCTGTGCAAAGGAATATCTCAAGTGTTATTGATGCACTGGAGATCCTTGAGGAGACCAATCAGAAAGTTGTAGAACTGATTCTGGATTTTGTCAACAAAATGCGGGCTCTCGGATGGAATACCCATGATTGTGCTCTTCTGTCAGGATCTCCTGTCACCATGTTGAGAATGCAGCCGGTGAAGCCACAGAAGGAAAGAAAACATAATAGCATTGGTTGTAGGTGATCATATTTGCTTTTTCTTGATCGTTGAACCCTCAGTCTTTTTTTTTCGAGGAGGGTGTTGAATTTCTGGTGCTTGGTTTTGGAACATCTGCAGACTTGTCGCTCAGTTACTTTGAACCCTCTACTTTCAATGTGCACCTAGCTTCTACTTTGAAATCAGTCACGAATTAAGAGAAGGATTGGACACTAAAGTCGTGCCTAAAACGAGGGTTAACTTATTTTAGGCGCTCCCCATAGCTCCACACCACTATGGTACGTGAGTCCCATTCATCAAACGGCAATCGTTGGTTCAGTTGTTCAGAAGGACTATGTAAGAAATATGATTTACATCATCTCGTTTTCCACTCAAATCACTGGTAGGAAACATAAGCACATAGTTTAAAAAACCAGCGGCGCTGACATGCTTATTTTTTTTTTTACCCGTCAGCTTATTTTGCCTTGACAGAAGTTTCGATCCTTAACAAAACCTACGATCCGGATCGCCACATGTTTTATTTCCCGTGATTCCAATCGTGGTCTTCCATGCTGAAATCCGAGGTTCCTCAATGTCAGAGTTCTCCCCTGTTACTCAGAAATTCATCCGCTCCTAAAAGCTTCATCGCATTTGGCGAGATATCTAAAATCCACTGACTTGCTCTGTTGGATCCAGGATTGCGGTTGCTCGTAAGGCTTCTCTCTTATTCGGGCCTACGATCTTGATGTCGAGGCGAACCACATACGACGCGAGGCGCGGCGACTCCGTGAAGGGCATCTCGTAGAGTCGGGGGATGGGGTCGAAGCGCGATTCCGCCCAGTGTGCGAGGGCTTTTGACATACAGGCTGCAGGCGACGACATCCGAGGGCACAAGCGCCAAGTGCTTCGTGATCGTCCCAAAGATGTTCAAAAATGTCGGTTAGTAGCTCTGTTGGGAGGTGAAGCAAGGACATTCCTCGACTTTGAGAGAGGAAATAGAATGAAACTGGCAAACTTGAAAACTGCAATTTGAAGAGTCGGAGTATCAACGCCAAGACAACAGAAAATTCAGTCGGGAACCGCCATCAAAATGCCATCCCGGATCCGTCTTCCGCAATAGCGACATTTCGACTCATCCCTGCATGTCACTTCCGCTCTTTTTAAAGGTGCATCGCCAGCTTCCTATCTCCAAAAACATTTTCCGTTGCATCTCCACCTCACAAATGTCATCCAGCACCCCAACACCGCATTCAAACACCACCACCAACACCAAACCCTCCTCTCAAAAACCTTCGAACAAAAACTCCTCCAAAAATCAATCGAAAATGGGGAAGAAAAAGTCTAACACACCCGGGGAAGAACACCTCCTCCTGCCCACGCCTCCGTCGTCTTTAGGCGTCGTCGACACGCACACATATCGCGAGTACCTATTCTTTCTACCGTCAAAGGTACAAAGAGGGGAAATACGAAAATGTGTTCGATTTCATCAAGGAGATGTATGAAGGCCGGACTATCGTGGACGTGTGGTGTGATGCGCCTGTACAGAAATCGTGGAAGACGTTCGCGGATTCGGCGTTGACGCCTGAAGATCGACTGTCTCGTTGGGGAGGGATAGAGTATTGGTTTGCCTTGGGTGAGTTGGCCGTGTTTCACGCTTGTTGTGATGCTGATGCTGTATGTTCAAGGCGTTCATCCGTCAGTCGGTTCTTCCTATCAGGTCTGACGTATAGCTAACTTTCGAAACCAGTCATGACGCCAAACGCTACACCGACGCCGTAGAGAAGGACATGTATGTACCCTGCCCATCTTCCTCGCTCCTCCATTCCTTACCTCCTCCTCTCGCAGATTAGAAGCAATGACTCACCCGCGATGCGTTGCCCTGGGCGAAATAGGGCTCGACTATCACTACGACAACTCACCCCGCGATGTGCAACAAAACGTATTCACACGGCAGCTAAACACGCCGTTAGGCTAGGGAAGCCGCTGGTTATACATACGCGGGAAGCTGAGGAAGATACGGAGAAAATATTGAAGGAGGAGGTGACAAAAGACTACAAAGTTCGTTTCCTCCCTCCCTCCCTCTTTTATGACTTGCTTACAAAACACGTAGATCCACGTCCACTGCTTCTCTGACTCCCCGGAATTTGCAGCTCGTCTCCTCGCCCACTTCCCGAATTTCTACATCGGTATAACAGGTAACGTAATCTGTCCTTACACTTCTCCCTCCTCCTCCTCCTAACCCGTCGTCTCCGTTCACAGGCGTAATAACATACAGCTCAAACACCAACACCTCCGCCGTCATCTCCCAAATGTCCTCTGCCTCCCCATCAGAGCCCCTCCGCATTCTCCTGGAAACGGATGCACCGTTCATGACTCCCGGAACCTCTACGCCTCCCTCCCGGCATCCTTGAAAGGGAAGAAATTGCCGTTATCCCATACGGCAATGATACCGTGGACGGCGGAGTTCGTGGCGGGTGTTGCGGGAGAGGGATGGGATGTTGATAAGGTTATGAGGGAGGGGAGGGATAATGCGCGGAA